ACAGTCACACACACATGGATTTCCTGCTCCTGTTTAGAGTCAGATTGGACACTCAGACTAAAGCAGCTTCCTGTGCCTAAGACAGGGTCATTTGCCAAACTAGGCTCTCTGCCACTTTCCACTGGCAGCCGAATCCCGCCCTCATCTGGGCAGTCATCAATTAGGTTTCCTTCTTGCCACCTGTAGCAAATCTGGCACCGCCAGTCAGCCCGAAAGTGTCCAAGTCTCATCTTTTAGACGAGATCCATGGCAAAGAGAGGAGTCCAAACTGCTTGTACTCAGACAGGAATGCTTATGACGAGATTAATGCTTGTCACTGGATCCAGTTCTGATAAACATTAACTTTGGTGCCTCCAAGCAACATTACATTATGGTAACGCAGTTGACTTACTATGCATAATTGCTCTTTGAAGATACTAACTGTGCAGTAGTTAGTTTACCCTGAGGAGCACCAGGGATGCCATTTGTTTTCATCTCCTTAAGACCACTGGGGTTTGATACACCACATTAACAACATAAAAGATAAAATTCATATGATCATATCAATAGATGCAGAAAAGCATTTGACAAGATACAACATCCACTTATGATTAAAACACTCAATAAAATGGGTACAGAATGAAAAGTGCCTCAACATAATAAAGGCCATACATGACAAATCCTCAGCTAACATCATACTCGGAACAAGACGAGGAGGTCCACTCATGCATGCCACTGCTCATCACAGGCACTGAAGCCCTAGGCAGGGCAAGCAGGCAGGAGAAAGAAATATAAGGCATCTAAACTGGGAGTGAAAAAGGAAAACTGTCACTACTTGCAGGTGACATAATTCTATATACACTAAAGACTCCACCAGAAAACTATTAGAACACAATAAACACAGTAAAGTTGCAGGATTCAAAACCAATATACAAAAATGCACTGCATTCCTATATAACAATGAAATATCAGGAAAGAAATGAAGAAAACAACCCCATTTATAATTGCAACAAAAAAGATAAAATGCCTAGAAATAAAAAAAGTAAAGGACCTACATGCTGAAAACTACAAGACATTGCTGAAAGAAACTGAAGAAGACACAAAGAAATGGAAAGATATTCCATGTTCATGGATTGGAAGAATTAACACTGCTAAAGTGGCCATATTACCTAAAACAATATACACATTTAATGCAATCCCCATCAAAATCCAAACGGCATTTTTCACAGAAACCGATCCCCCCCCAAATCCTCAAATTTGTATGGAGCCACAAAAGACCCCAAATAGCCAAAGAAATCTTGAGAAAAAAGAACAAAGCTGGAAGTATCACAACCCCTGACTTCAAACTATACTACAAAGCTACAATAATTAAAATGGCATGGTACTGACAGAAAGACACACAGACCAATGGAACAGAATTAAGAGCCCAGAAATAGCCCTGGCCGGTTTGGCTCAGCGGTTAGAGCGTCCGCCTGTGGTCCGGAGAGACCCGGGTTCGGTTCCCGCTAAGGGCACGTACCTCGGTTGCAGTTTGTCCCCGGCCCTGGTTGGTCGTGCGGGTGGCAGCCACTCGATGTGTCCCTTTCACATCGATGTTTCCCTCTCTCTCCCTTCCTCTCTCTCCCTCCCACTCTGTCTGTACAAAAAATGGAAAAATGTCCTCGGATGAGGATAAAAAAAAAAAAAAAAAAAAAAAAAAGAGCCCAGAAATAAACCCACATGTATATGGGCAATTAATTTTTGACAAAGGAGCCAGAAACATACAATGGAAAAAGAAAAGCCTCTTGAATAAATGGCGCTGGGAAAACTAGAAAGCTACATGCAAGACAATGAAACTAGACTTCTACCTGCCACCATATATAAAAGTTAACTCATAATGGATTAAAGACTTGAATATAAGACCTGAAACAATAAAATACTGACAAAAACATAGGTACTAAACTTATGGACCTTGGTCTCAGGGGGGTTTTTCTGAACTTGACCCTAGATGCAATGGACGTAAAAGCAAAAATGAATAAATGGGACTACATCAAACTAAAAAGCTTCTGCACAGCAAAAGAAACCATCAACAAAACAAAAAGGCAACCAACTAAATGGGAGAAGATACTTGCAAAAAGTAACTCCAATAAGGAAGTAATACCCAAAATATATAAAAAGTACCCATACAACTCAACAAAAATCTGAGTAAAAATGGTGTATAGCCTGAATAGACACTCTCCCAAGGAAGACATACAGATGGCCAACAGATATATGAAAAGATGCTAAATTTCACTAGTTATAAGGGAAAGGAAAATCAAAACCACAAAGAGATACTACCTCACACCTGTTAGAATGGCTATTATCAATGAGGTAAGAAATAAGTGATGGAGAAGATGTGGAGAAAAGGCAACTCTCTTTCACTGTTGGTGGGACTGTAAACTGGTACAGACACTATGGAAAACAGAATAGAGGGTCCTCAAAAAAATTAAGAGCTACTATATGACCCAGAAATCTCTCTTCTGAGTACCTGAAAATATTGAAAACACTTATTTGCAAACATGTAATATACCCCTATGTTCACTGAAGCATTATTCACAATATCTTTTGACCGAGGATTGGATAGAGAGGATGTGGTACATATATACAACAGAATACTACTCAGCCATAAAAAAGATGAAATATTGCCATTGGCAACAATAACATGGATGGATCTTGAAAATATCATGCTAGGTGAATTAAGTCAGACAGAAATGGACAAGAACCATATGATTTCACTCAAATGTGGGCTATAAAACAAAAAGCAACAAACAAATGAAACAAACAAGCTTCAAGGTACAGACAACAGAAAGGAAGTGGGGGGAGGGCAATGAGGATAAAGGGGGTCAAACACATGACAGAAGGATACTTGACTTTGGGTGGTGAGCACACAATGGAGTATACAGATGTTGTATTATCAAGTTACACACCTGAAACATATATATAATGTTAACTAATGTTCCCCCAATAACTTTAATTAAAGAAAGATCACTGGGCCCAGCCAGTGTGGCTCAGTGGATTGAGTGTTGTCCATGGACTGAGAGGTCCTGGTTTGATTCCTGATTCCTGGTCAGGACACTTGCCTAGGTTGCAGGCTCCATCCCGGGGAAAGAGGGGGTAAGGTGGGGGGGCTCACATGTGCAGGAGGCAGCCGGCTGATGTTTTTCTCTCTTTCCCTTCCTCTCTCTCTCTCAAAAAAATTAAAATAAAAGATCACTGGGGTTTGGGTGCAATGGAATAGGTCCTTTGGGACTTTCTCCTATTTAGAACCATAATGTATACAACTGAATCCTGACAGGGCATTTCCTCTCATGAGGCAGGGCACTAAGCCACACAGCTAACTTACTTTACTGAGCAAAAGGTAAATCAAGAGATCGCACAGAACCGAGGGGACGAAATTCACACCCTATTCAATTGCTCGTGTTAGCTCCTGGATAATAAGCCTTCGCAAGGATTGCCAAAGCAGGAATGATTCTAAGAGAAGCTGAGGAGCACAGCAATCAGGAAATGAACAAAAAGCAGGCACTGCAAATGGAAAGACAACTGCTGATTCCCACCAAGGGGACAACGGCAGTGAGAAACTGGTTGATGTGCCCATGCGGCCAGAGCACCGACCCTGCGTGGACAGTCTGTACCGACTGTTAGGCAGAGTGGCATGAAGAGAAATGTGAAAACTAGACTCTGGATCTCCAAACCCACAGGTTCGGCTTCAGTAGTTTTAAGAGACTAACAATTTTGAGTCTTTTCTTGTGAAGGTTGGTAAGGGAGCGGATTCTAGGACCCCAACTGCACACAGACCAGAGAAGCACATAACGCACAGGAAAACAGGGGAATGTGTTGAATCCTCACAATGACAACAAACAAGTGACTTCTAACTCCATATTTAGCTCTTGAATGTGACACCAGGTGGTCTTAATTCAGCTCATAAATGTGCACGCCTCAGGATGTTAGTGGCCAGGAGTGAACACCGAGTGACTTCAGGAATTAGGAGACCAGGAGTACATTCCAAGGAGGTGGAAGGAGTGATGGTACGAGTGGAAAACCTGGGCTGGACGATGAACAAGCCCATGTCTGTGCCACAGCAGCCGGGCAGGGGAGCAGCAGCAGGGCTAGTGAAAGAAAGGGAGGGTGACTGGGGCAGTGCCCCACCTGTGTCTCTGGTTCGTTTGGGGGAACACATGAGTTTCATGTCAGGGCTCTAGACTCTCGAGGTCAGGACAGGCACCTGGCAGCTCCTGGTTAAGGTGGGAAGAGCAGCATCTCATGGAATGGCTGAACTATAAGCTCTCCATGCTATTGGGTCCAATCTTGAGTAGGGAAATATCAGGCAGGTTATAAACAGAATATGCTGGCCAGGTCTCTGGCCAGGAACCTTTATTCCCCTTAGTCTAGGAGACTGTTCACGAGAGGGGTTCTCTGATTCCAACTGTAACATGCTCTGGCACACAAGAGAAGTACCTAAGACATGATCAAAAGAATCAACTTGCCCTACCTTCCACCACAGCCTCCTCCCACTATTTACTCCTAATTTCTGCCCTCTCACATCTTCTGAGAGAGACTCAATGAATTTTCGAAACAAAAATCCCCTTTGTTCTGCCATGGCACTGGCTGGCGGCGACTGCATCCTAATGAACTGAAACGTTTAGCTGTTCACTCAGTGAGGAAACTCAACTGTCTTCATGACACTCATGGTCTGAAATACAGGTTGGTGGGATCCCAGGTTGGGAACTGAATTGTGTTTGCATTCTTGAAGGCAGGGAAATTTTCCAAGAAAAATAAATGGCAGTTTGGTTTCTGAAAAGCTGACACCCTCTGTAAAACACAGTGGCCCTTCTGGAGTGAAAACAGCCAAGAGCTCACTACCCCATGGAACTTTTGCCCACAGCAAATACAGGGCCCGGAAGCCGTTTCTATTGTTTCTCCCTAGAGTGAATAAAAATACTGATGTCCCCACCCCCACTTCCCAGCTACTTCTGATCAAGAGAAAGTAAGGGAAGCAAACTTACCTAACATCTCTTCCTTTAGTCTTTCATTTCGTTCTTCAATTTGCTTAGGTAATCTCTGAGGGGAAAAGAGGAGAAATTGGCTGGTAAAAAAAACCCCTCAGCTTTATTTTGAATTTGAGAAACATTAAAAACTAATGTGAAAGTGAGATAAGGTTAAGTACAGATATGTGATATTAAAGAAAAAACCAAGTCTTTGTTTGTGGGTGAGCTACACAAAGATAGGAGTTTTATTTGGTTCACTGCTCTATGCCCAGTTCTTAACAGTGGCCCAAGAAAAACATCAATGAAAATGTCTAAAAGGATACTTACCAGAAGTTTACAGTGGTACGTATACTTAGGTGGTGGGATTATGGGTGATATTTATATTTTAATTTTTTTGCTCACTTATATTTTTTAACTTGAAAACCTTTCTTTATAGAATCTAATTTATTGAGAAAGGGTCAGAGAAATACTGGATGCCCCTAAACGATCACCTAGCTCAGTGATCTACCCAGGCACTACTGCACTTTGGACTAGGCAACTTTGCTGTGCGGCTGTCTCATGCACTGCAGGATGTTGAGATCGTCCCTGGCCTCAACCCAGTTAGATGCCAACAGCACCCTCCTGGTAATGACAGTGTCTCCAGACACTGCCAAATGTCTGTGGGAACCAAATCATCCCCGCTGAGACCCCAGATGAGAACCACTGATCTAGATTAGTCTTCTATGGCCACTTTTAGCTCCGTAATTGGCCCCAAGTACTCTGGGATTCCAGTAGTAACTCAGTTATAATAATTCAAAATAATATAAATTCTTTATGCACATAACAACTAGCATAAAAGACTTCCTTTCATAGAAGGCTTAAAACTAATATGATAAGGATAAAGGCTACCAAGAATCTGGCCAAGATTTTAAGTATTCCCTTTCCTCATGTCAAATTTAGTTATCTTACCACCATTCAGAGATATGTTAAAAGTCAAATAAAAGATCGAAACTGGTTTTAAATTGCTTATGTATTTTAATTATCCAAACCAGGCTGTCTCTCATTTCTAGATAAATAAAAGATCTGTTATTATAGAAGGAAGTATGTATACAAAATAGAGCAAAACAAAACTCAAACTACCTAGGACATTAATGTGGAAAGATCACTCAACATTTCTTATGTTTGCCCAGTGGAACAATCACTCTAAGAGATAAGTGGGAAACCCTGCAGAGCAGGGCCAGGCAGGAAATACACAGCAGTCAAGGGGTCGGTGGAGGGCAGTGTGAGTGGCGTGGCCAGCACTGGAACTGGAGAGATCTAGCCAGGTGCCATCGTGCAGGAGTTCAAGAGGAACGCAGTATGTCCACATCTTCCCATTTATTTTCTAAAGGAGTCTGCTTTGATTTTTATCTAGTAAAATTTTCCCATTTTTAAATGTTGGCAAGTGGCCTCAATTACAACGAACAAAAAGTTAGCTTAAACAAAACACGCTGTAGCTCTCCACCTCCTGTCTGCCGGCCTGTGATCTCCCTGCTGCACACTGTGGCTCAGGACAGACCTGTCCACCCTATCAGCTCTCTGAAGAGTCTGGTAGTGAAGACAGCTGTTAGTTAAAGCCAGGGTCTCTCAAACAGATGTGGACATCCATTACGTTGGGGCAGTAACGTATGCATGTCCAATTCAGCAGTCCCTTTTCAGAGCGTATGCTGCTCTGTGCATTAGGGACCATCACAGAGTGGTATTAAAGGTCAAGTACAAATCTGGGTTTGTTTTTTTTTAAATGGGAGAAAGCAATAACATTTAGCTAATTTACAAGTGACAAAAATATAACATTTAGAAGCAAAGGAATTTGTAGTGTCAGGGATAAGAAAAGTCATTTTAAGAAAGATAAGAAGGTTACTTTAAGATACATTCAACTGCAAATGTGTTGGGCATATGACAATCAATAGAAACTTGGTGAATGAATAAGAAAACTAGATATTTCTTACCAATACCACTAAGACTCACTTTGATCTGAGCTATACAACTACAGTGGACAAAAATTTCCTAGTCCAACAAAGAAGTAAAATTCTCATCAACCCTAAAGATGAAAGGCTTACAGGTAACACGTTGAGAATGGAGTTTAAATGGTACATGCTCATAGGGGGTCTGTGGCCACCACTTCCAAGTTGTCGCTCATATATTGCGATAGGTTCCTCAAAAGTATAGAAATGGAATGTAGTTGTGTCCTAAGGAAGATTTAAGATTCACTGAGGAGCAACACAAGGACAAGAAAAAACGAGGTGTTTACCATACAAGCTTCCCTTGCTTGGTGCACTGATGGGTCCTTTTCTAGAATGGATTTATAGTCTTCCAGGGCTTCATCAAGCTTGTCGGTGCTCTCGTACAACTCTGCTCGCCTCAGCAGGGCCCTGATGTAGCTGGGGTTTAGCTGAATGGCTGTAAAAGAAGAGATCATTATTACCGTGAGGAAAAGGGTCTAGACATACTAGGCTAAATCAGGTTTCTTTATTAATCATCCTCCAGGGTCTCAAAAGAAGAGTCATTTGCCAAAGACTATACCTGGGGCCAGCAAACTTTTTCTGTAAAGGGCAGGCTTGTAGAGATTTTAGGCTTTGCAGGGCAGACCGTCTCTGTCACAACTACTCAACTCTGCTATTGTAACAGGAAAGCAAGCAGACAGTGCTTGAACAAGAAAGAGTGGCTGTGTTCCCACAAACCTTTATTTATGGATGCTGAGATTTGAACTTTGTGTAAGTATCATGTGTCACGAAGTATTATTTCTCTTTGATTTTATTTCCAGCCACTGAAAAATGTAAAAACCACTCTTGGCTCATGGACTACAAAAGCAGGTGGCAGGCTGGTTTCGGCTGTGGCTGTCGTTCACGAAGCCCTGGCCCCCACCCTGAGTCCTAGTCTTCAGATGCGTGTCCTTCAGTTCAGAACAGGCCAGACAAAGAGCTCAAGTCCCCAGTGAGAGAGAGAGAACTGGAAGGTACAGATTCAAGGGTTGAGGGAAAACAGTCTGATGGCAGACTTTGCTATCATTCTTTTTTTTTTCTTTTTAAAAAAATTGATTTTAGAGAAAGGAAGGGAGAGAAGAGTTGGGGGAGAGAGAAAGAAGAGAGAGACAGAAACATTGATTGGTTCCCTCTTATTCCCACTCCAACTGGGGATCAAATCTGAAACATAGGTATATGTCTTGACTGGGAATTGAACTTGAGACCTTCTAGTACACAGGATGATGTTTCAACCAACCGAACCACACTGGCCAGGGCTCATTCTCGCTCTCTTTTTTTTAGGCCTCAATTACTGAGGTTACACCTTGACTACTGAGGTTACATTTTCAGCTAAACCCTCACAGTTCCTTCAAACTACTGCTCCAGCTCTTTCAGGTCATAATATTCTTTCCTTTATCCAATCACCACTGCCCCTCTAAGAATCCTTTGCCCAATGTGTTTTTTTTTTTAATCCTCACCTGAGGATATTTTTCCATTTTTTGTTCAGATAGAGTGGGAGGGAGAGAGAGAGAGAGGGAGAGAGAGAGAGAGAGAGAAAGGGACACATCGAGTGGCTGCCACCCGCACGACCAACCAGGGCCAGGGACAAATGCAACCGAAGTATGTGCCATCAGCGGGAACCGAACCCGGGTCTCTCTGGACCACAGGCCGATGCGCCAACCGCTGGACCAAACCGGCCAGGGCAAACAGCTTTTTTTGTTTTTGTTTTATCCTCACTCGAGGAAATTTTTCCATTTTTTGTTCAGATAGAGTGGGAGGGAGAGAGAGAGAGAAACATCGACGTGAAAGGGATACATCAAGTGGTTGCCATCTGCATGACCCAACCAGGACCGGGGACAAACTGCAACTGAGGGAACCGAACCCATGTCTCTCTGGACCGCAGGCCGACGCTTTAACTGCTGAGCCAAACCAGCCAGGGCTGCCCATGTTTTGATTTAAGGTAGGGGTGTGTGTATATGGGGACTGGAGAGGAAGCAGAGTCTGTTCTGGGCATCTCAGATAGGCGATGCCTACCAAGAAGAGATGCCTACTCTACAGTAAGATACAGGGCTCCAGACCACAGGGAAGAGCTGAAGTAAGAGACTGCAGCAAACAGGTGGTATTTAAAGTCTCCCAACTGGATAAGAAAACACAGGGGAAAAAAGAAGAGGGCCCTACATAGCACTAAGATCTAGGGATTTCCAAAATGTTGAGACTGGCTGAGAAGCCAGCAAAAGAGAAGCAGCAGCAGTCAACAAAATGGAGGAAATGCGGACTGATACACTATATTAGATGCCTTTCGGAGGCCAAGCAAGGTGAGGAAAGAGAAGCAACTACTGCACTGAGGAAGATGAGGTGGTCAGTGATCTTTACAAGACGGGTGTAGGTGAGAAGAGAAAGGGAGGAGGTCAAGGAGACAGCAAGTACAGACAATCTTTCACTGCAGAGGATCAGGGAAACGGTAGAGTGGTTGCACGGGGGACATGGTGCAGAAGGTTTACTGAGAACCCAAACCTCTTAACATTTCAACTTTATATGCTGCCAACCTACCCTTAGCCCAGTACATCACAGTCTTAAAAAACAACCCAATTACAGTATCATAATATCCATAGGATACACATTTCAATGACCTCTACTACATCTTTTAAAAAAACCAAACCCCTGCCCTGGCTGGTATGGCTCAGTTGCTAGAATGTCAGCCCATGCACTGAAGGGTTGGGGGTTTGATGTCCAGTCAAGGGCACGTACCTGGGTTGCAGGTTTGATCCTTGGCCCCCATCGGGGTGCATGAGGGAGGCAATCAATCAACGTGTCTCTCTCACATCGATATTTTTTTCTCTCTCTCCCCCTCCTTCCCTTCCACTCTCTCTAAAAATCAATGGGAAAAATATCCTCAAGAGAATTAACAAAAAATAAATAATATATAAATAATTGAACTTCTAATTTTAACCCAGATTCTGCCCCCTTCCCATCTCAACTAGCAAATAGCTTCTAATAATGCAAATATGTACTGAAGAGAAGTAACTTTTCCCACGATGACTTTATAAAAACCTCTAAAATAAACAAATCACTCTAACATGTGATTTTCATTCCCAATCCATGTGAAGAGAATCAACTTAACGCTTATTTATACCAACACTGAAAATCCTAAGGTGAGAGGCATTAAATATTGTCCTATATCATTAACAGTAACAAGCTCCAATATGACCCCAGAAATAAACTATTACGTCCTCTGCCAAGAAGATTTATGAACTGAGTGGGAACATGTATGTGTCAGGGGAGGGGAGGTGTCTGATACAAATGAGCCACACTGGTGTCAATGTATTCTGCCTATGGGTATAATGCCTGTAGCCCATAATGACTATGTATAAGCACATGGATATTGGTTTAACCAAATCCAAACACAAATCTGGAAAATACTGTCCCCCCCCACCCCCCAGGCTACAACTGGACATGATCTATTTCCTAGTGTATACCTTGCTAACCAAGCTTACAAGGCATTTTCTCATCATTTGGTTACAGAGAAAGAAACTCTGAAAATCAGCAGCTTGTTCCTAATTTGAACTTTTCAAAGTCATACATCACACACAGATTAAGGTTAAACACCTTCTTCCAAATGAAATGTTACATTCAGAATTAGTTCCAGCCTAAGATATAATAGATGAGAAGTAATTAACTAGATCCTAATGTAGTAACAGTTTCATTCAGATACTATAAATAAATACCAAGCACAAAGGAAAAAAAAAAGCCCTAGTAGAGAGGGTAATGAATTAATGTAAAGAAAAAAACAGAAGAGGGAACTCATGCTTAGTCTGAGAGTTGGACTAGACAACATAAGATTCTTTCTAACCCTACGGTTTTCTCAAAGAAATTGTTATCCAATGAGAAAAAAACAAACAGAGTAATACAAATTACAAAGAGTAATAATTAGCTAGAAAAACTCATGAGCAGCAGGATGCAAGGAAAAGTGATTATGTCTGTTCTCCACACCAAGCTGGTTAGAAAGGCAAGAAAAAATGTCTGACACGTCAGGAAATATCTGAAACAAAACAAAACAAAACAAAAAATAGTGATCCTAAGTCTGGGTGTCTCTGAAAGCTGGTGGGATGAAAAGACTCTGAGAGAAGTCAGATAACAGACAGCAAAGTCTTGATTCAGTGTGTGGAACCTGAAAGGCTAATTAAAATGATGGCAAGGAGGTTGGGAAGAATTATTACACCTGAAGAGAGTACCAATTACCTAACAGAAACTGCCCCTTCACCACCACCCTCCTCCCTCAACCCCCAAACACATAGATCAAGATGCTCAAACAACAGCTAAGCTTGTCTACTTCAATTTCAAAGTAAAGTAATTTGGACACTACAGGAATTAAATTCTGTTCCACCGAATTCTGCTGCCAAGGTAGCTTTGAATTTTTCTTTACCTGTTTATAAGGCAGGATAAACTGACTGAACTATCCATCAAAAGCACACTTACAGTAAGGTGACTACTACATAATTCCTCTAAGAAGGGCTAAACCATAAAGGCCTTCAAAGACCTCAGAGAAGGGGACACATGTACAGGTGTACACCTGACCGACAGCTTCTATCTCTGCTGGTCTAGCTGAGGTGATGCTCTTGTATGTTAACATGTAACAAGACCAAAAAGTTGTACCTTTGCTGCAGTCACTGATGGCCATCTCTTTCTTGTCCTAAAAGGAAATATAACATTAATATGTGTCACCCTAGTTCTGTCTTAATGGCCCAAAGGCTCAATGACAAAGCTGATCATTAATAATTGCTTATGGAGATACAGAATGCTCTTCAAAGAAATCACACAGAAACATGCAACTTACTTCCAAGCTAAAATTCAAATAGCTTCTTCCTACAGTATCTTTAAAGATTGCTGTCACTGATCTATTCAATTTGCAAGATGCTTTATGTCAGAAAGTTGACACTGAGAAAACTTTGTGATCAATAAGCAGGGCAAAAAACTACTACATGAATGACTAAATTACTAACCCTCCTCTTTGGCTATCTGACCCAAGTGACATCTTCCAGAGAGTAAACAGATGGTACATCTACAATAACACAGTGCAGCTTGACGTGCAGTCTGTTATAAACCTTAATTTACCCACCGAGGAAATGAATACACAACAACCCACCAAGTAGACACCTCACTGACTGAGCTTGCTGAATCAAGAAGCATGGCACAGGGGACAGACACTGATGTCAAAAAAACTAGATTCTAGTTCTAGCTCTGACACTAATCTGCTATTTAACACATCTATTTTTCTAGTTTTCTACAATACCACAGAAATGTTAGTTCAAATAAATGTTCAATACTTTCGTAATGGCTATGGTAGCAAATACTAAATATTTTGCAGAATATTTTAGAGCAATGTCTACCAAACTGAATTTTAAAATTTAATGAAAAACAGTTCCAGGATAAGGAGTGAAGGCTGAAAGGGTACAAGGTGTCTTTTTGGGGTCATGACAAAGTTCTGGAACCAGATGGTGATGGTTGCACAATTTATAAATCTATTTAATGGCACTAAATTACATGTTTTAAAAGGGTCAAAACGGTCAATTTTATATGTCAGGTGTCTTTTACCCACAATAAACACAGAAGGTTCCAGAGTGTTCTGGGAAACACTAACTACATTATATCTCTTCCAATGTTAATCATAGCAATTCATATATTAAAAGCTCTAAGAAGTACCATAGTAAAGAAATCTGTGTAACTTTGTATAAGCCAGTATTTCCCCAATATATTAGCTTTCTATAAATCTAAGACTCACAATTTCATATTTTCAAGTTTCTGAAATAGAAATGACTCTTTACAAGTTACGTGTTTATCTGTTTGATGTATTCTTTGTGCCCTTAGAACTGCTATAAGCTGCAGCGCATTTCATGAACAACCAGTCTCTGCAGATCAAGGAATTGTGGCCTTTATTGCAGAATCCTTTGCTTCAGGCCCAAAGTCTACTAACACCTTGGGGGACCCAGGCGCTGCCTGGTGCTAAGAGTGATAGTTTCCAAAGTGGGAGGTACAGGGGAAAATCGGAACTTCTTTACCATCCTTCCATAACTTATACCAATCTGTAGACATATATAAAGCAATGTACGTAATATATAAGGAGAGTAGTTTTAAAAAATTTACAGCCTACTCTCTTAGGGCGTTGTCTGCTCTTGTGCAGGCAGGCAGAGCTGAAACTCTGCCCTCACCCATCTGCATCCTCTCTCTCCAGACATGAAACGTAAAGCTTCACTAGGCACTCAGTCAGGGATGCTGAGCCTGCCAAATTGCCTTTCAGAAATTCTCCTTAGAGCAGTTAACCCAGCATCTCCATAAATAAACTCAGAATACAGCCCTTAATTGTTGCAATGCATGAATCCTGGACATGATCAAGTTTCTAACTTTTGAATCCTCTTAAAAATATAAAAGTGCAACTAAATCAACAAAACCACCACCCACCCACCCCACTAGCAAACCTATCCTTTGTAAAGATAAATAGTCACAGAGCAGCTCTCTCTTGCTCTCTCCTCAGACGTGACAAAGACCATACACTGCCCTCACTCAAGAACCGGCAGATTATGCCAGCCCAACCCTAGCAATACCAATAACTTGGCAACTGTGGAAACAAAGAATCCCCAATCCCAAGAGCCAGATGAGCAGGATGCTTTTTCTCTGACATTGCAGGTGCCCTTGATTCCACTTAGCAATGACAACTTCCAGTCTGAGAATGTGGCAAGATGTCTCCAAGAAGCAAAAGCAAAAGATGAGAATTTTCCACACTAAGTGTAAAAACCATTAGGTGTAAATTCTGATAGAATTTATTAATAGGTATTATTTTAAATGCACTTGTTTTATTTTCCCCTAATACATTAAGATGTTTGTTTATATACTCTAGAATTATTGCTTCTCCAATGCCACACGAATCATCCCCAAAATACTTCACTTTGGACACTGAATCCAGTAATAAAATGTACAAGTTCTGGTTTAAAAGAAAAAAACCAAAACGAAACAACTTTCTGTACATCTAAACCTCTAAATAAGCCCCCCCCCCCCAACCTGGTTATCCAGAGAGACTTTGGAGAGGCACTAGAGAATTTCAGGCAACATCAATGAGAAAGCTACGCAGATACTGAAACAAATAAACAGAAGACCACTTCATCCAATCCAGGGCCTGCTTTGTGGTTACGTAAAGGCATGTTAAATAACCTACCCTTTGCACTTTGACACAAGTAGCCATAGTTAAACAAGTATATTATTTTTTCCAAAACTCTCATCATTTCAATCCAGCAAAATATACTGGATTTTGGAAATAGGAAATCAGACAAATCAACCAGAAATCTAACTTTTAATACCAACATGGTACAAAACAAATATAACTGCACTTTTCTCTATTCTATGTTCACCCTGCTACACCAGGTTCTCAATCTTTTGGAAATGCAAACTGTTTCTGAACTTTCCCCAACAGCTATTTTGCATTTAAGGGTCCACACTTTGAACAGAAAAATCAGAATCTCAGGAAGAAGCACCTTGAAACCCAGAGTTTTAATCAGTCTTTCCCTGTGGTCTTCATCTAGAATCCCAGAGACCTAAAACAGGCCACTGTAGCCATTCCAGGCCATGCACTATTAAGGTCTTTGCTTCATTGACCTTCCCCCATTTGGTGGAAACTTCGCAAGCCTTTTTTCCGTAAGTGTTCACTCAGCCATTTTAATGAGGAACGTTAACAGTAATCTGACTCAAGTTTTTCAAAATACGTTCCTATCTTTCCTGTGCCCTTTCTATCAGGGAAATATATGGGCATGAAAAGGGAGGCACCAACGTTAAGGCCCTATGCTAGTCTTTGGAGAGAAGCTATCCTACAAAATCACTGCAAGTTCATGCGCTTCTTTAAAAAGAGAAGGTCAGTGTTACATACCTGTTTCATCCTTGCAGCAGCTCTATTTGAAAACAGAATAGACCTGTCTTTCTGGAAGCAGGATGGGCACATCTGAAGGGCTTGACTATAAGAACTTTCAGCGTCTATGTAATCTGAGGACGAGGTAAAAGGTGAGAGGTCATTACGATTTTGTCCTGGTACAACTGTATTCCACAGGATCTCAGAATACATAGCTTTCCAGTCAGAGGACAAAGGTCTCCAACAGAACGCTCTAAATGTTCACCTCCTATTGAGCTTATCAATTTAGTAAGGAGTCTTGAGAGGGGATTTGGAAACTGGAGAGACAAAAAAGACTGAAGTCTGGGATTAATGGCCTGGTTGATGAAAGATCTTAAAAGAGAAAATGGTGATAAATTTATATATTCACTGTCACACACAGAATGATGGTCAGGGTCCTAAAGGAAAACTGCTTATTCACATCTTTCTTAGGTTGGAAACAGTTAATATTAAAATACAAAGGATATGTTTTCAAAACTAGAACTGCTAGTTCTCTTAGAAAAGAACTGATTATTGATTAAACCAGGATATAAGAAAAAAAAATTAAACCTAAAATTAACTAGGGGAAATGTTACTCCTAGATTCTTTAAGCATCTACACTTTAAGATGTGATAAAGGCTATCATAAGATCAAACAGTTTTCCCAAATTATCAGAATGAGCCCGACTCATTCCTAAGTATATGGAGGAAACCCAGAAGGATGTGAAGTACTTCTCTGCTTACAGCATCCAAAGAAAAGGGCACATATAAGAACAGCCCAAGTACAAGCAGAATTCCTCCCTAGGCCCTGCTGGAACCCTCGAGCCGGTTTTATAGCACTATTGCAAAGTGAGGAATGGGGCCCTGGCTTTACAGCAATGCAGCCAAGAGCCTTTTAACATTCCAGGTTAGAGTTTTCCGAAGCCACAGCTGAAGAGTTTTTCCTCCCAACTTCTGGATTTATAGATAGTGGATTACAGAAAAGAAGAACTATGCCTGTGCCAAGAGACACATGGTAACTGGTCACTGTCAGCTGAGAACGATTTGAACCTGGTAAAAAGGAAAATTCCAAGAGCTGGGAGGTATGCTGTATTGTGAGTTTATTTGCTAGTTGTTCCCAAATGTTCTTTGGGGGTGTCTCCACAGACTCCACGAAAGAAAGAGGAGTCAAGATGTTTCAACAGTGCTGAAACAGTTCTCTTACCTCCTTTCTTAAACTGCTCATTGCCCTCTTCCTTCAGTTTAGTGCTCTCTTCTCTTCTTTTCTGAAGGAGATCAGAGAATGACATAATTTGTCACAATATTATTTTCAGGGAATGAAAAGGTCAGCTTTCTTTACATATCAGGCTATTTGATAGGCAGCAACATGACTTTTGAGAACTGGGTCAGTTCTATCTAAATCTCCAACAGATACAGAGAAAAACACATAACCATCTGGATCTAATGGCCAATGTTTTGATTGTGTTTAAAGAACAAACCCTAGCCTGGTCGGTGTGGCTCAGCTGGTTGAGCATCATCCCACGCACCAGGAGGTCGCCTGTTTGACTCCCAGTCAGGGCACATGCCTGGGTTGCGGGCTCAATCCCTACTAGGGGGCGCCCATTGATGTTTCTATCTCTCTTTCCCTATCCCTTCTTCTCTCTGAAATCAGTAAAAACATATTTCAATAAATAAAAAGCAAACAAACACAAACCCTATGTTTCCTACGTTTCTACCTTTTGCATGGAATGGTAATTCAGGTACCACTGGATTCCTAATTATGCAGATTGAAACTAAACAATATGCCCACTGGCACACACACACCACTGTAAACTCAAAATCTGGATCTACTGCTTGTTATCTGCATGATCTTGGACACTTTCAGATCTCTCTGAGTCTTATTTTCTTCATCTTAAAAATAAGGCTTTAATTCTTTTATGGATTAATGTGATAATGTACATAAAGCTCCTAATACAGTGCCTAGCAAATAAGGGCTCAATAAATGAGCTATGATTCTCCTGTAAAACAAGTAATCCAATACTTATTTAGCTACAGTTGTGGTTTGTGTCCTGAAGGAGACAAGGTATGCAGGCAGAGTGCATTATGAGGATGTGCTCACCTGCAGGGTCAGGGCAGCACGCTGTCAGCAGGTTAACACAGGAAATTTGAAGAGACCATGACAAACAAATCTCCCTTTTCTTAGCTTCTAACAACTCAGAAATCCACACAGATGGCCAAGCACCCATCAAACTCAAAGGCCAAATGAATGTTACTCTGCAGAGCAAAGACGACACATGCCAAATCTCTGCTTTCAGCCCTGAACATTGGTGGGCACAAGCAGAACCAGAAGTGGTCCGGCCTGCCGCCTTGTGACAGTGTTTTGTTATTTATTTAAAAACAAAAAAACAGAAACAGAATCTTCTTCATTCTTGAAGCTTCTGACTAAATACAAATTTCAAAGGGAGGAAATATACTTAGCAGTGTATTTCAAGCACAGGGGAAGCCTGGAGCCTAAACAACTGTTACTCTTAAGATTAGGAACCAAAGTAAAAATATTATGTCTCCAGAGATTTGTAAACATGCTGTTGGGTGCTTCCTGAATGCCTTATCGTTATACTCCAGATGAAACAGAACACTCGATGAATCTCAATAAAGAAACTAAAAGGTAGGTGTGAATTGACTCTCATTTTTATGGTATCTACTGTACGCCAGATGCACAGCAGATACAATGATAATTCATTTTAAGATACAACATATCTGAAGGAGGGCTATTCTAAGGGAGTAGAAAAAAAGAAAATGGGAGGTGGTAATGGGACTCAAATATAAGAAATGTGGCCACATTTACCCTGTACTACCTAGGAGGGAGGTGCTTGGATTATAATATTCTCTACTGTATTGCTTTGGACTTTTGGGTATAAGCAAAAAGACTACCTTAGGCAAAAAATGTTGAGGGGGCAGATTTACTGGAGAGACAGTGGGGGCTCACAGAGTCAATGAGAGGCTTAAAATATTAGCTTAGGAAACAGGCAGGAATCAAGGCAGTTCTGTTAAGTCAAGAAGCATGAAGATATTAAGTGTCTTTTAGTGGAAGAGTCTGGCCAAGATAAACTTGTAATAGCAGCAAATGAATCCCAACCATTTCCATTTCTTTGCCCCACCCAGATTCAAAGTCTTGATCACATGGAATGAGCCAAGGGTAGGTCACATGCCTTGGCTGTTAGAAAATGGACTGAGTGACATGGGGTACTGTCACTCAACAAGATTACAACTCAGAAAAATTCTTCCAAGTATGAAGGGGGTTGGATGCACAAGCCAAGAAAACCCCATAATAAATCTAGTTAAAAGGTATTTCAACCCCGAATAGCTAAAGCAACCTTGAGAAAGAAGAACAAAGCTGGAGAAATCACAATATTTGATTTCCAACTCTACCACGAAGCTCTAATAATGAAAAGAGTATGGTATTGGCATAAAAACAGACACATAGGTCAATGAACAGAGAAGAGCCCAAAAATAAACCCAGGCATATATGGTCAATTAATTTATGACAAAGGAACCAAGAATATACAATGGGGGAAGAACCATATCTTCAAAAAATGGTGCTAGGAAAACTGGACAGCCACATGCGAAAGAATGAAACTGGGCCACTATCTTACATCATACATAAAAATTAACTCAAAATGCACTCAAGATTTGAATGTTATACCTAACCCGATAGAACTAGAAGAAAAGAGGTAGTAAGCTCTTTAACAGAGGTCTTGGTGATTTTCTGAACCTGACATCAAAAGTATAGGCAACAAAAACCAAAATAAGTAAGTGGGTCTACTCAAACTAAAACGCTTCTGAACAGCAAAAGAGCCACCAAAAAAATGAAAAAGCAACCGAGTGAATGGGAGAAAATATCTGAAAATCATTTATCCAATAAGGAGTCGATATACAAAATGTATTTTTAAAAAACTCATACAATTTAACGGCAAAAATGCCAAAATCCAATTAAGAAATGGGCAGAGAACCTGAACAGACATTTTCCTAAGGAATACATACAGATGGCCAACAAATATATGAAAAGATGTACATCATTAGTTATTAGAGAAATGCAAATCAAAACCACAATGAGATATCACTTCACATCTTAAAATGGTTATTATCAAAAGGACAAATAACAAGTACTGGAGAGGATGCAGAGAAAAAGGAACTCTCTTACACTGCTGGTGGTGTAAACTGGTGGTGCAGCCACTATGGAAAACAGTACGAAAGTTTCTTAAAAAAAAAAATTCAGAATAGAACTACAATATGACCCAGTAAGTTTCCGGGTATCTGCCCCCAAAACTTGAAAACACTTAGAAAGATAATATGCGCCCTTATGTTCACTGCAATACTTACAATAGCTAAGACATAGACACAACCTAAGTGTCCATAGATGGATGACTGGATAAGGAAGATGTGGTACATATATGGTATATATATACAGTGGAAAACTACTCAACCATAAAAAAGATGAAACATTGCCATTTGCAACAACATAGATGGAACTTAAGAATATTATGCTAAGTGTTAAATAAGTCAGATGGAAAGACAAAAACTGCATAATTTCACTCATCTGTGGGATATAAAACAAAAAGCAACAAATGAGCAAACAAAACAAAAACAAACTCATATTTACAGACAATGGAATGATGGTTACCAGAGGAAAACAGGAGAGGGAAGGCAGAGTGAGTAAAGGGGGTCAAATATATGGCAAGGGAAGGAAACTAGACATTGGGGGTAAGCATGCAAAAGTATACAGATGTTGAATTATAACGTTGTACATCTGAAATGTAACATTTACATAATGTTATCAACCAATGTTATCCCAATAAATTTAATTTTAAAGTTACAAAACAACTTCAAGTAAGGTAAAAATAAAACCCTATAAATATTAGTGAGTTCATTTCCTTAATTTTAAATTCACACATACACACACACACACACACACACACACACAGACAGACACACCATGCATCACTGTCTAATAAAGTTCTAATAGTGAAATGAAAAGTTGGTTTCACATTAGAAAATGTATCAATGAAAGGCAACATGTTAATAAATTAAAAGTATATGATACCACAAATAAATTCATCACAGATCTTAAAGGTCTTTAGTATATATATATATATTTTTTTTCCCTCACCCGAGGACAAATTTCCATTTTCTGTTCAGATAGAGCGGGAGGGAGAGAGAGGAAGAGAGAGAGAGAGAAACATTGATGTGAAGGGACACATCGAGTGGCTGCCACTCGCACGACCAACCAGGGCCGGGGACAAACTGCAACCAAGGTACATGCCCTTAGCGGGAACCGAACCCGGGTCTCTCAGTACCGCAGGCCGACGCTCTAACCGCTGCGCCAAACCGGCCAGGGCTCTTTAGTATATTTTTAAAGTTATTTCAAAAACAAAAATTCTTTAGAGAAGGGCAACTCATCAAGTTAATAAATGTCCATCCTTTAAGAAATTTCAATCTTCTTTACTCTAATTTCAAGCCACTTTTTATCTAAATCTGTTCTCCAGTGCCAAGTCATCAGGAATGTTCTGACCACAGTTGAATCACTCAGTCTACCAGGTCAGGCTCTTGTGAAGTACATGTAAGTGCATGTGTGTCAAAAGAGTTTAATCATTCTTTAGTAACTTTAGAACATTAAGATCCCAATGGGCAGAGCCTAGATCCAAGGTATGCCCAGAAGGAATTACCAATTAAGGGCCAACCTGAGCAGCCAGCCCAAGAAAAGCTCATGTGTCTATTACTTGGACTAAAAGTTGAACTGGCAAAGAGAAGGGATCCAGAACATATTTTTAAGGCCAATTATTCTCAGGAAGGCATTTTATTTTTTCAGCTGATCAATCACAAATCGGTGACCCATGAAGCAGTCAATACTGTAAAGGAGCTACTGCTTCCACAGACTGTGTAAAGTGAGAATTAATGCAATTATCAATATCATGCTGAACATCTCCTTGGAAACAGGTAAAAATAGCACTCTGAAGAGAAAGCTGCACTATCTACCAGCTGTGCCAAGAGATTAACTTGATGCCAGTGCAAAGACTAGGGTTTATTCTGCTGCTGGAATATAGTCTTTCTCCAAAAGATGACACATATACTGTATAATGGTACTGGAATCCAAGGACAGATTTTATAGTGTATAAGTCTTACTTACCATGCTAAGTGCTGGGAGCAGTCACACATAAATGACTGCTGATATTCTGCAGCATTATCAGGTGCAAATTGGTCCCTGTTCAGGTCTAATGTGGTTAGGAGC